CTCTCTCTCTCTCTCTCTCTCTCTCTCTCTCTCTCTCTCTCTCTCTCTCTCTCTCTCTCTCTCTCTCTCTCTCTCTCTCTCTCTCTCTCTCTCTCTCTCTCTCTCTCTCTCTCTCTCTCTCTCTCTTCTATCGCGTATCCTCCCCCCAACAACGATTCTCCTCCCCGAGGAGAGACGCGGATCCGTTTATCGTCTCTGTGAAAAAAAAAAAAAAAGTCGCCTTTCGTCGCCGAAGGCAGGAGGCGGAAGAAGAAGGGAAGAAGAGCCAATCCGCGCCTCTCCGATTTTCGAGACGATCGTTCTTCCCTTCTTCTTCGTCTTCTCTCCCCGCCAACAATCGTCGTGTCCCACTCTTGGGACTCGCGTTCGTGTGCCACGAGTCGCGGTTTCGCCGCGGATTATTATTACAGCCCCTCCCCCTTCCTCCCTCCGTCGTCGGTGAGTGAGCGAAGAGGACGTGATTGATAAAAGAGAAGAAGAAGAAGGCAAAGGATCTTTTCTTTTTCTCTCTTTTCTGTTTCGTGCTCGTGCTCTTCGTTCCGTCGTCGATTGTTGTCGTTGTTAATTTTACGGTCTCGGGGTGAGATCGAGAGCATGATTTTTCTTTCTTCTTTTTAATTCTTCTCTGATATTTGGATGAAATGCGCGGAGGGATCGAACAGGTGAGATATTATATATACGGCCAAGTGTTTGGTATTTCTGTATAATCGATGAAGTTTTGATAGGTAACAGGAGTAGTGAGAATGTGTATTATAGCACGTGGATTTATAGCGATCCTTGGATTGCGTAAGAAGCGCGGATTATTTATTTCTACGAGGATCTCGTTGTCTGTAGATACAAGTATCGGGAGTAAAGTTATGTTCGTACATGTTCCGGCTGGTGTTACGATAATAAAGGTTACAGGTTTGCGTAATTCTATCTAATCGCCGATTATTATTTAACACCAGCAAAAGAAGAATTCTCTTTACAAACAGAAAAAAAAGCTTATTACGACAAGGTTGTAGGAGAGTTTATTTTAATGACACGTCGGATTTAATTAAAGAATCCTCCTTTTTTTTCTTTTTTTTATTTCCCAATGACATCATTAACCAAGTAAAAGTTACCATAGATTAGTTTTTAATAGTCGTTATAAAATTGTACGTATTTAATTTACGCATAAAAAGAAGAAGAAAAAAAGGAAGGAAGGAAGGTAGATTGTTTTTTTCATATTTGCTTTACTTTGTTTATTTTTTTTCCTTTATTTTTCGTTTTCCGTTTTTCGTCGCATCATCTTCAACTCGTACGAAGAACGAAATCTATTCTAAATTTTTTTTGTTAAACAATTAACCGCGAAATTGCGAATGTGTTCGATTCGCAGGAAAAAAGAAAGAAAAGTAAGAGATAAATTTCTCTCAAAATCGCTAGGTAGGTAATTCGATTTGAAATTCCCGCGCGCGCGAGAATCTGTCTGTTTCGAATTTCGTCAACTTTTTTTCTTTTGCTTTTCAATTAACAACGGACACACAGACATGTTCGATACAGCGTAATAATTTCTCGATAGCTCTAATGTTTCATCGACATTCATCTGTACACACGCCGAGATTACCTAATTTCGAGTTACCTGAGCGCGAGGCATTAAAATTATCGCAAATTGAAACGAAGTCAAATGTCAGGCTCCTTGCGTCCGATCGCCTGTGTTGATGAGACATTTCACGGTTTGTTGAATAGGTCAAGCATCGCAACGTTGGCAGAATATGTTTCCAGTTTTGTCTTCGCGTGACTAGAAAAATTGCGTCGTAAAAGAAGGATAATCTATATAGAAAAAAAAAAGAAAAGAAAAACATTAACACACGTGTAAACGATTCGACTTTGGTTGAATTTCATTCGCATTAAAATTCCTTCGTATTTTTTCTTTTTTTTTTTTTTTGTCCCCAAGATAAAACGGTCCTCGATAGATCGAACGATATCCAACGTATAATTACATGTGAAATGACCGTGAAAAATGTTTCCGGGAAACGATTTGAAAATCGATTCGATTTTCCACGATCCATCGTTACGATGGAACTCGAATCGATTCCTAATTTTTTCACAGATATCGAACGATGATGATTAACGCGAATCGAGAACGATCTTCTCTCGATCTTCTTGCGTTTCGTTTCCGGGAAATATGTTTCTGAGCCATATGTTTGCCGCGGAGATGTTTCCCGATAAATCGCTTGTAGACGGGCATCTTCCATCTCGCATAGCTTGCATTCTTCGCGAAGTGGTCGACGTCTCGACATCCTTCAACCAGGCATTTTCCATCCCGCGAAGAGTTTCCTCGCCGATTGAAACCGAGCGGGTAAGTAAGTCGATTTTAACTCGAATTTTATATTGCTCGCTCGGATTGAAAAATTAGGTTGATAACCTTCTCGTTAAACTGTAATTCGTCGGGCTATTTCGGGTCGTGTCTCGTATCGCTCCACGGTTAATAATAGACCGATTTTCTCCCCCCGGAAACGTGACGCAATTTTCACAATCTTCTCTCGGCTCTAAATATATGGATTCTTTGTGGTGCGGGATTCGATCGAGAAATTATTTAATTTCCCTTTGGTGATTGTCATATAATTTAATTATCAAAAAATTATACGCAGAGGAGGACACGGATTTTTCTGATAAATATTTGTAATCTCGTTTCTTCTCGTTCCGATTTTCTAACATTTATTTACGACCACGCCCAAGGAAAAATTGAAATCGAGCAAATTTTCAAAGGATCTTATCTTTTTCGAGAGACAATTA